GGGCGGGGACACGGCACGTAGTGATGAAAGACCTGCGTCGAATTTGGAAGGTGATATCAGTGAAGAAGATCCATTCAAAAGCATTCCTGATCTTAGCGTTGATGAGTTGCAGGAGCTCATGGCTGCGCAGACATTCTCGTCGCCGGCGAAGTCGCAAGGGAAACTGTGTTCCATGACTGCAACGTATGGCGAGCATGGTAGTCGGAGGGGCCAACACGCTATTGAGGAGGCGGTTAGGGAGGAGGAACGGAGAGAAATTCCTGATTTTAGACCACTTACCCGCGATGGCCGTTTTGAGACGAGTTCCGTACAATCGAAGTCTACGAGGTTTACTTCCAGCTGTCCCAAGCCGGACACGGACACGGACACGAGAGCTACGTCTTGGAGTAGTGAGGAGATGGCAGCGAGCATGCACGTTCAGCAAGCTTCCACGGATCCTGCTAATTTCTTGAAGCGCGTTGATGACATTAAGTGGAAACGCGGTCAGGTTCGGTATCCGCAGCAGATGGATGGTGGCCAGGTTCCTGGCGGCCTTACTAGTCCCAGAGTTGCGACGATTTCTTTTTCGTCACCGTTGCTATCGCATGTTGTGTACCAGGAGGATTCGACTAGTCCTGTTGAATCGGAGCAGCCACCTCTACTTCCAGTTCCGCGACATGGCAATATTAGTGGATTTCAGAGTCAATCGGGTACCGTGCCGTGTTCATATATGAAAAGCTCGCCATTTAAGACTTCTTCGCGGCACAATGGCGCGTTTGACATTCGGGCTTTCATGGGACGGCCTATCTCGCGGATTGATGAGCAGACTGAAGATTCGGCTAATGAAGACTTTCATGTCGAGAATCACGGGCTTTCTGTTATGCAGGTCCCCGGTCACGAGGAGCAGTCGATGGTTTTACCGGGTTGCCCAGACATGGATACTACGTACAGCTTTCATCTAGCGCCACTATCGGACTTTAGTCTTAATCAGATGGATGAGTCGATGAGGTTGGAGGTTAGTTATATCGCTGAGCGTACTCACCCGTCATCTCTCAGACAAGTTCACGGGACATTTGCACTGGCGACTCAGGATTTGGTGAAGCATATCACCGATACTGAGCCGTACGAACCATACTGGGAACACCTACGACGCCTCGATCTTCGAGGTAAAGGCCTCATAACGCTACATAGACTTAAAGACTTCTGCTCACGGCTTGAGGAACTCGATGCCTCAGACAATAATATCGGGCAGGTTTCTGGTGTCCCCTCGAGCGTTCGCTCGTTGAAGATCCCATGCAACTGTCTGACGAATTTGACATCGTGGGGACATTTGGGCAATCTGCAGTATCTGGATGTATCTGGGAACAAGCTGGAGGATTTGGATGCGTTTGCGGGACTGGTGCATTTGAGGAGTTTAAAGGCGGATGGGAATCGGATAAGGAATATTAGGGGGGTTATGGGGTTGAATGGGTTGTTGACGTTGAATGTTAGGGGGAATTTGGTGCGGGAGGTTGATTTTGGGGAGGGGGAGTTGTAAGTTATATATATTTTTTCTCTGTTCTTTCTAAGGGAGATTATGGGTGAGGTGTGTGGACTGCTAACGATGGTTCAATTCAAGGACGCGTTTGATAAACCTCGACATGCGCGATAATCGTATCTCGAGTGTACGCAACATTAGATTCATTAAGACTATCGAAAAGTTGGATCTTCGGGGTAACCAGATTCAGCACTTCGAGTCGTCAGAAGTGCTGCATTGCCTACACTCACTTAACTTGTCTAACAATTACATAGTAAAAATAGATATTAGGAATTTTCCTAATCTCCATCTTCTCTACGCTGACAAGAATCATCTCAGCACGATTACGGGTCTGGAACAATGCCATTATCTCGACGTCCTTTCTCTTCGCGAACAGTCGCTGCCATCTTCTTCCCAACAGTCGGACATTGATCGGCTACCCGTCATCGACTTTGATATCAGTGCAGCCCTCTCCCTTCGCAAGCTATATCTGTCCTCCAATCTCCTCTCGCCCGATCTCCTCGCCCCACCCGGTGGTTGTCCCAGTCTACAATTCCTTGACATCGCCTCGTGTGCCCTGCAAGAATTACCCAGTCAGTTCGGCATGTGTTTCCCCAATCTACGGGTCCTGAATCTCAATTTCAACGCGCTCGCTGACGTGGGTGAGCTGCTGGGACTTAGGAGGCTTGGACGCGTCTCGTTGATTGGCAACCGCATCGCGCGGCTTCGGAGGCTCTGTCAGATTCTGCGTTCCGTCGGTGGACGGTGCGGTGCGTTGACTGATGTTGATCTGAGAGAGAACCCTATTACATTAGGTTTTTATCCGGCTCCTGTCACGGGGAGTGGAAGGATGTGGCGCGATGAAGCGGGGAGGCTTGTTGGGGCGAAAAAGCACAAGTATAAACGGTTACATGTGCATGGTCATAGTGGGGAGGAAAGGCAGCTGCAGGTTCGCGGGAGAGATGGGGAGAATGAAGATGAGGGTGAAGAGGATGTGGGGTTCATGAGCCTGGGCGGTTGTACGGATATTGCGCGGAAGGGATTTCGCGAGTCACGGGTGGCTGATGATGCAGATAGTGCTGACGGTGAGAAAGTCGAGATTGAGATTGACGATCAGTACACTGTGCCGCCAGCGAACATCATTGCGGATCGAAAGTATGTCATGCACCTTGATGAGGCAACGAGGCTGCGGCGGAGGGTGGTGGAGCTTATGGTGCAGGCGGCTGCGGCTGGGAGGTTGAAAGTTTTTAATGGGTTACCTGTTTGTGGCGGGGATGACGGGGATGGGGATAGAGGGAGGAGTGGGTGTGTGAGGAAGGATGAGGTGTGGAGGAGGTTGGAGGAGTTGGGGGTTTTGAAGAAGAGGAGAAGGACGGTGCAGTTGGAGGTGGGAGGATAAGGGGTGAAGTGTTTGTGGGATGTGGGATGAATGTGGTTTTGTTTGTTTTGATTTGATTTCCTTTTTTTGTTTTTTGAAGGAGTAACTCTCTTTTGGTTGTCTTTGGGCCATTTGGAGATTGCATATGTCCTAGCAGGAACATTGTGAGGAGTTTTGCTTTTCATATACGGCGTTAAAAAGCGTAGCAAGATCTTTTTCCTTCGTGGGTTATCCCCAAGTCATGGTTTCTATCCGTCTATACCGTTTGCTTTGCATATAGCGTGGTCTGGGTTTGTCTTGATAGTTTGTCTCTTTTTCTTTTTTAATTTTTTGAGGAATGCCATTAAACTGACCTGCGGTGCGGGTTTTGCGTTGATTTTGCATGGGTCAGTTAACCGCCCCTAGATAGTAGAGAGTTTTGACAAACTTTTAACTAATCTCTGAGTGGAAACACGCCTATTAGGCGCTATTTTCCAGTTAAGCCTTCGTTAAAGCACCAACTACTGGACGTATTGTATGCACCTCGGCATTTTCACTTTACTGGTGTGCTGTATGGTATTGTAACCAAAATACTTCGCCAACCTCAAAACATCAAAAACATCTAATATCTGCACAGATGATCCTCAACAGCATTCCAACCCCCGGTGCAACGCTCGACTCATATCCGCCTACCTCCCCTGAGGTACCTAGTGGTGTTGGGTTCTCCTGTGTTCTCTTCCTCGCGCTCCATGGCCGGCTCCCGTCCCCGTAATGACTCACTGTCAGGCAAATCATGGGTCTCCTCGCCTGCAGCTGGCGGCGACGAGGAAACATCCTCCTTGCTGGGAACTGGTTTGACTGTAAGTAAGAGAGGCCAGAAAAGCAATAGAACATTTCAAGTTCGCTTGACAATGCCTTCATCTACTGACCCGACTCCTCAGACTCGACATCTTGAGGCTTTTACGCGCAAAGTCTCTACCACCGCTAGCCATCTCATCGGCCCAAAACAAGACACTCCCAGCGGAGCACACTATCATTCTGCGGTCAATGACATCCACAAAGAGCTGCGACGCCCGTCCATGCAACGGAGAATGTTTTCTCTCTCCCAGACCACTCCGACAGACCTCGTCCGATCCAAACTATCTACCTCCGAAATCCAAAATCGCGCCATTTCCGCTCTTCCAGATGAACTGTTAGTGAATATTCCGGAGGGCACGAGCTCATACTCCTTGTTCCAGGGATTTCAGGCCTCCATGCCAGAAGATGAACACGAGCACAGGAAATCACACCGGAGGCGAAGCTCACGTGCGCACAAATTATTGGATAGTGCGGGATCGGTTGCGGGGACATTACCACCTACTATCTCTTCATTAAAGAAGGACCGGGATACGTTCAGTCGAAGACTAGAAATGATGGGGATAAGGAAAAACATGTGTAGCGCGGAAATTCACGAAATAGATAACAAGATTGCGAATTTGCACAGTATGCGGAAAATTGTGCTGGACCGTCTAGCGCGGCTTGAGATGGATGAGGCGGATTTGGAACATGACTGTGAGATTTTCGGGCTTGTCCAGTTTTGTTTCTTTTTGGGGAAAATCGGAAGCACTAACGTGTTAAACCGGACAGTGGTTCAATTAGATAACAAACTTGAGGATATGGAGGAGGAAGCAGCAACGTCCCCGGACACGCCGAAGACGAATGATGCTACAGACCCTTCAGTCGCATCCGACACACAAGCCATGGATGCGTCTTTTATGTCGAAGTCAATCTATGAGAAACTCCCATCTCCCAAGACCTGGAAAAACAAATCATCCAGTTAGTTCATTTTCACTCATCCGCCATTTTCAAATCAATATTGATAAAAAGTTGTAGGAAAGAGATCTATGCCCGTTCTCCACGAGCATTTCGAGCCGGGCTCCCTAATGAAAGAAATAGAAGCACATAATGACATGATATCCGCGATCGATTTTGATGTCCCCTTTGGAACAATGGTCAGCGCCGCGTTAGATGACACAGTCCAAGTCTGGGATCTAAATTTGGGCCGATCTATGGGATTCTTAGAAGGTCACCATGCCTCCGTGCGTTGCTTACAGGTCGACGATAACCTCGTCGCCACGGGGTCCATGGATGCATCGATCCGGCTATGGGATCTCAGCCGCGCAAAATATATCCCCCGGGATAATCGCATTGGCAAAGACGGCACCGACGACCAGGAGGATGACGATGATGGGCTTGGATACGAAGACACGGCCGCTGCACCTCCACCACTCTCTCCCCGCAGCATGGAAGAGTGCCACTTGTTCTCATTAGAAGCGCATGTCGACGAGGTTACAGCCCTGCATTTCCGCGGCAACACACTCATATCGGGATCAGCGGATAAAACACTACGACAGTGGGATTTGGTAAAGGGCCGCTGCGTCCAGACACTCGATGTACTCTGGGCTGCAGCACAGGCATCAGCGTTGTCCTCCAATGATAGCCCGTGGCGACCGACTGGTCGGTTGCCGGATACTTCAGCGGATTTTGTCGGTGCTGTGCAATGTTTCGATGCGGCATTGGCATGCGGGACGGCGGACGGAATGGTTCGACTGTGGGATTTACGCAGTGGACAGGTCCACCGCAACCTCGTGGGGCCACACGGGGCCTGTAACATGTCTGCAGTTTGACGATGTGCATTTGGTTACTGGGAGTATGGATCGGAGCATACGGGTGAGGCTTTTCCTCTGAAACATAATAATACACGCTTCTTGCTCAATGAAACAAATTCCCACTAATGATAAATGTATCGAATCTCATTACAGATCTGGGATCTACGAACTGGCTCCATACATGACGCGTACGCATACGACCATTCCGTAACCAGCATGATGTTCGATACGCGCCGCATCGTGGCCGCCGCAGGCGAAGACGTGGTGAAAGTCTACGACAAGACGGAAGGGCGGCACTGGAACTGCGGCGCAGGAGTGACTGCCGAGGAAGAAGGCAGGACGACGTCGATTGTCCAGCGCGTGCGGATCAAGGATGGGTACCTGGTTGAGGGCCGGAAGGATGGAGCGATTGGGATCTGGACCTGCTGAGCAGAGTTTTGCATGGTCTCCTCCGTCGTCTGGATAAGAGGGACCGAGCTTGCTAAAGCAAAGCTCTCAGTGTTTTCATGGATATGCTCTACTGACTTTCTCGGCTGAATTTTGTTCAATGTCTATATTTTGCCCTTGCAGAAGAAAAATATACGGATCAAAAGTTTGGGGCCAGATCTGCATCACATGTCGTCTTGGTTCAATTTCCGACATGGAATCCCTTATGCCCGCGCATGCTATCTGCCTGTCGTCTGTACTATCTTGTTTATCCCTGAACTATCTCATCTAGTCCTTTTTTGTTTTTTGTCATAAGTACTGTATATTTACAAGATTTTGGCATGGTTTTTTAAGTTAATTTTGATTTTGTTTATTTCTGTTATATTTTGGTCTCGATATAGTTATAGAAGAAGGATAACACCTCTTTTTGGCCTTCAATTCGCAACTGCTGGTCAATTTAGGGGGTTGTTTGACCCAATGGTCAGATGCTAGCGACAATCCTCATCACAAACAACAAAACTCCGAACTCCGGCCCTGTCCAGCAGCCAAAGGCGACGAACAAAACGTCAAGTAAGAAGAGGCACGGATACAGGACAAAAGAGCTATAGAAAGGGGCTTGGACGAAATCCACATTTCAATTCACTTTCTTTTGATAATTGCCTTCTTTCCCGTGGAGGGACAACGTTGTTCAACAGTGCGCATCGCACTTGTATCACGTGATTAGTTAGTTTACTAAGTTCAAGTAACATTGACTAAACTTAGTTTCTGCGCGTTTCGCTGTTTCGTTAGAATAGTTCGTTACCACCCGCTTCCCAAGGTTTCTTCGACGCGCGCAGGACTCGAACAGATGTTTCATTTGAGAGGCCCCAAAGCAAGGGACTTGGATTGACTGGAGTTGATTAATTCATTGTTTGAAGTGGGGAATTATCAGTCACCCGCTGCTGTCATTCGTTTCTTCTGCCAGTTTGATACCCATTTCTTGCAGCAGCTGTCTCTCGTCACCGTGCTCTTCTTTTATGTTGCGTGTTCTACTTTGAAGCCTCCACTTCACAACCGTCAGTTCATATCTACACTGATGCAGTGATAACTCTACTCCATTGTCACTGCTGTGTGTAGGAAGAGGCGCGAGGTTTCCGAGAGCTTTGAGGAGGGGTTTGACGAGGGCAAAGGAAAAACAGAGAGCCTCGCTAGGGACAAGGCAAGTCGAGGAGGCCATTCGATTATCGATACGTATACATTTATCTACGGAGTGTTCTCCCAAAACACGGCCAAATTCACGCGCAGACTTCTATTTCTGTACAGAAGAACAACTCTTCGAAGTGGCTAGCTTTATTGGCCGGAATCCTGTCTGCTGTGGTTGGTGGAATTCAATCTTGGCCTTGCGCGGATACCTCCACAGCTACGTTCCTATATGCTCAGGGGCTTCAATAGGAGTGAATTTGCTGTTCCCCCTCCACCCCTCCCAGCGATCCACGCTCGTTACTACGGGTGGAAAGGGGGCTGGACATTGCCTCACCTGCACCTAACGAACAAATATTCATGATGTGAGTGCAATTGTTTTCTGCTTGCTCCTAATTGTGTTGTGTTGGTGTAGTGTAGTTGTCTACAAAATCCCGGCCGCGTCCTTTATTATACAAATTGTTGCCCCTTCTCATCTCTTTTCTTTTTGCTTCTCTACAGCAACAATTGATCCAATGCTGGTACACTTCGTTCGGTCAATTTCAACTCTTCAGCTTCACTGCTAAACTTCAAAGACTATCAAAATCGCTCTTCATCGCCATAACGACTACAAGCCAACCAATAAAATAACCCTGTTCTTTGTGCTGCTTTACAGCCTCGCCAAATTGCAAACAGTCAATCCTCTCTCATCTTCTCTTTGAAGCGCCCTTCTTACCCCTCCTCCTTTGAGCTGGTCTCTTTGTATCCAACCAGAATACCAAAACAGATTCCTTGCAATCACCCGAATGTCCATCCTTTATGCAATTGTCCATCATCCTATCATTCCTCTGATCTTCCTTCCTCTTCAGCTATCTTCTCTCCCAACATCCTTTTTCCATTCTTCATTCTCTCCAGAAACTCCCTATCCACGGTGTTCCACTCGTAATACCTCTTCTCCAAATACTTCTTCATCACCAACATCTTCAGCTCAGCTTTTTGTTGTGGTACTTTTGTTTTCCATTGCAACTTTATTTGCAATTGTCTCTGGAACCTTTTCGACGCGCTTCTGGAGTTTGCTATACTAACTTCACAAAGTAAAGCTGAAAGAACATTCTTCTAAGTGTCCTTTTTCATCCACTGTACATTTTCAACTCTCTAAATTCGAAATAGGTCCTTCTAAAAATCTTTCTATATCTATAAAAATGTCTGCTCGAAAAGCCTCTTCTATTCGCTCGGGTTACCGTGCTGCAAATGCTCGCTCAACCCAAGCCGATCTTACTGCCATCATCTCCTCCGCTCCTCAAGCTGATCAGGCAAATCGTGATCTGGGCAATCCATCTCTCCCAGACGTCCGTACCCAACAATCTTTCGCATACGGCTCTACCAAAACTCCTGCACTTCCTCGTCAGCTTGACCTTGATCCTTATATGGAATTGTCAGAAATGGCCGACAACCTCGATGACGGTTTGCGTCAAGCTCAGGGCCGCAATCTTACCGGTGCTGAAGAACCTGCTCGTTCTAGTCCCGAAAGACGCCAGACTCGCTCTATGAGTGCATCCGTTCGCTCTAGCATGTCACCAGCTCCTGAACCTGCCGCACGTAGGGCTGCGGTTCGCAACATCCACCCCCCCAGAACTACATCTCGCAGAGACGCCTCGCGCCAACAAACCCCTGAACAGCAACTCCTTGAGACTCTCCGCGAAGCATCTGAAGAAGCTGAAACAGTTACCAAAGAAGAACCTGAAGCTGAGGAAGAATCAGTCTTCGGGACTCCTCATACCCCTTTCTTCAACGAATCGTCCAGTGTCAGCTGGACCACAGAGCGTCTTATCCACGGCAACCCGCCGCAAGATAGCAATGCTGGAACTCGTCCAAACTTCTTTCGTGGACATCCGTATGGCTCCCGCCCTTCCCATTTGCAGGGACAAACCGGCCTGAGCGTACCTCCCACTCGTGTCCCCGTGTTTGCAGATGTACCTCGCGTTATCCCTAGCATCCAACCAACTACTCCTCCCGCTATGCGAGCTCGTGCCATCGCAAATGTTGGTAGAACACTCCCGCCTGTTCCTGCTTTTAGTCTGGGAAATAAATATGAAATTAGATCTGCCTCCGGATCATCCAACTCTTCTGCCTCATCTTCTTCAAAGCACACCCCAGGTTCATCCACACATTCCTCTCCTGCCGTTGCCACTGCGACGCCTACTGGGATCATTTCTACCCACAGTCAGCGCGGTCGAGGAATTGCCAAGAATCCAACCGGTATCCTTGTAACACTCGGTCTTATTCTCATGGCACTCCTCACGCATCTCTGCAGAGATCGCGCCTGCTCACTCCCTCAGATGTCTGGGTATTTTTGCAGTCGCCTGCCCACGTCCGACAACAACTCAACGACCATGTACGCCGACGCTTTCAACAAGCTGACATACCAAATCGATCAACAACTTGCAGTCATGGCAAAGGACGTGGCCACTCTAAAAAACGAGTGGAACAAGCGGCTGCCGCATCTGAAGGAAGCCCTCAGCAGGTCTCCAGCGGCAATGGACCCTCTGGCATTTCCAAAAGTCAATTTTGCCTCTGTTGGCATGGGGGCAGTGGTTGATCCGTACATTACCAGCCCAACAATGGATACATTATCTGGTTTGGCTGGCCGGATCGGCCACTACCTCGCCAAGGTACCCTGGGGCTTACCCCCCGTGGCTGCACTCCAACCTTGGGACGGTGTCGGAGACTGTTGGTGCGCCGCCACGCGGTCCAATGTTTCTCAATTGGCCATACTTCTCGGACGAGCAATAGTCCCTGAAGATGTGGTCATTGAGCACATCCCTAAGGGGGGCAACATTGGACGCCGGTGCCGCACCACGGGAGATGGAGCTGTGGGCCCAGTACACGGCCCGTCCGCCTTCTTCATCCTCCCCCCCGGGCTCTAGCTCTTCATCCCCCCCTCCCCCTTCGTCTGCGTCATCTCCCCGGGAACCACCATCCTCCCTCCCTTCATCTTCACTGGGCTCCTCCTCCCCACGTGCTGCTCCCCATTTCCGATCCCCTCCCTCCCCCGCCTCTCCCTCCCAATCCCCCCATCACTTGTCCTTCTCCTCCCTACGGGACATCATCCTCACCACCCTTCGGCAGGTGTATCCGAATGAGCCGGTATCGGCTTATTCGGACGACGCGCTCCTCGGACCGTCCTTCTTCCGCCTCGGCCGGTGGCAATACAACATCGATGGCAGACATCACATCCAGCGTTTTAACCTGGATGCTGTCATCGACATGCCCGCCGTACGTGTGCAGAAGGTTGTGTTCCGCGTTAAGTCAAACTGGGGCGCGGCGCATACATGTCTCTATCGTGTGAGACTGCATGGACACATATAGTTCCGGAACTATAGGTCTGGTGGAAGCGATATCTTCTGGGATGGATACGGATAGTGTGTGGGGGTTCATGGTGGGTTGTTGGTAGGTTGAGAGTTGGGGTTTACAATGGGGTCTCCGCGAGAGTCATGTGGCTGTATTACACGTGGATTTTGTTGGGGGGTTACATCTTCATACAGTGATTTAGGTTGAATTTGTATGGTTTTGGTGTGATGCTCTGAGTCATTGATGGCATTTTCGTTTTGTGGTGGATACACGGTGTTTTGAATCTGGAGTTCGGGGGGTTCAAGGCGGCATGTGAGCGATTTCTGGTCGTGTCCTGGGTTTGGTCGTTTGTATGGTTTTTGTTGCTAGCGGTGAAGGAAATGGCTTTCTTAGTCTTTTTATCTTTCATTTGCATATTTGATTTTTGTTTACTGCATGTAAAGATGCATTGCTTTCCTTGGGATCTTTCTCTCCTCTTTCTTCCTAATACTTGTTCCCTGTTTTCCTGGACCTGGACCTGGATCTGGGGTGTGCTTTTGCTTCTTTTTGTGTCAATTATTCTATTTGCTCAGGATATCTTTATTTTTATTTATTTTTATTTATTATTATTTTTTTATTATTTATTTTTTTTATATATTTTATTTGGGGGGTGGGAGGACTTTTTACAGGTCAAAGGGCAAGTTTTGTTGGCTTTTTCCGTCTATCATTTCCTCCACGTAGCTATCCTAAAGGGGGTCAGAACCAGAGCTCGAGAGTAAGATTATACTCCCCCCATCCTATGGTAAAGTCCCCCTTTTTATATTAGCCAGAATGTATTCATGCAGTTCGGAACGCGAGATTCAAGTTATTGTGTATGTGTATCACCCTGTGTAATGAGTAATGGAGCCGATATCCTAGCATGACGATCATGAGCCATTTTGTCTGGATTCAACATTCAGAGCACTAACCTTTTTAACTAACCACAAAGAGAGGGAATGTGCAAGATATCAGTATATCCAAGCTCCCGGGTACCCTCTTTTTCAATCATCGATATGTGAATTCCTTTTATACGCTGGTTAATCAACTGCGTATCTCCATGTTGACGTCCCCATCCAAATGCCAATCCTTCCAGCAGAAAAAAGGAGCTGCTATATTCGAAGAAGTAGTCCCGTTTATGAACATAACCAACCTTCTCTAGCAAATCATTCATTTAGTGGAAGTATGGACACGGCCACATGAGCTTCAGAAAATGGGAACCTTGTAGGCTCGAAGCCAGGTCCGCTGGAGTTTGTATTCGCACATACATTACCACATTCAGCCACTTCCTCGAGGTGCTAATCACTAGTCCCCTGAGAATCGTGTGGTGGCGATAGGGAGCTGGAATGTTGGGGGGGGGGGGGGGGGGGGGGGTGAGCAGGAAAATAAAAAATAAAAAAAAGGGGGATAAATTTCTCGGAGGGGTTAGGGGCTTCTGCTCCCCTTGTGTATGTGTATATGTATATATCGAGCAGCTACGCTGTTGCTACTCATGGGAAATATTGATCATAAGACCAAACCATATGCATGATGTGAACTTCATTGCGCATTGCCGCTCTTGGACATAGCTATCCAAAATACAAATATCTGATGTCACCAAGCAGCACTGTGGGACCCACTTTTCGCAGCCTTACGCCCTTTTCAACCAGCAGGATGTCATATGTCAAAGCGAAAGAGTGGAGAGATGTCGACTCTGTCGTGCCAAGAGTAACATAAGAGTCATGGATGAATTGATAGACGGGTGTCTTCGATGTGGACTCCTTTGACTTTTGGGGGAGGGAACAAGACACTGTTTTGTCTTAGTTGTTGATGAGTGGCTGGCTTGATATACACCCATATCCCATCCTGCTGAAAGAATGTACTGTATCTGCAGAGCCTGAGATAGACAACTGATGGATGTCAACCGCATAGCTCCAATTTGTAACCCAATATAGTTATGTATCTACCAAAGCATCTGTAGCACAGCTGAGAGGCATTCAAACGATATAACTACCTAGGTAGCTGCCATGTCATCTGTGTGATAATAATAATAATAATAATATATCCATCCATGGATGGATGGATGACATAAATAATGGCATCGTGTCCGTTCCTCATTCCCCACCATTAAACAACAGCAACATCAAATGAAAGTCAAATCAATATGATAACTACCTTGTCCTCAAGCATGCTGGAAATCTCCTCCGTCACATTCAAACGGGGGTTTAGAAAGATCATCTTTATCTCTGTCGCCAACCTTATACCTGGATATGTATGTTGAACTGCCAGCCCTATTGTGTGGTATTCAGGGGATAAACGAAATTCCATCGATTCACGAATGGAAGTTGGTTGACCCTCAGATTGATGGAACATCCGTAAATTTCCCTTTGCAATTTGACCGAGAGCAAATTGAGTTTGCAATCGAGATTGATTTTGCTAATGCTGCTATTCCGCTTGTCATCCTTCTTTGGCTTCTCTGGTTGCCTGCCGATGTATCCATCTCTTTTAAGCAAAGGTTTATCTTCGCTGACCCGAATCTCCTGTTTTGGACCACAAATATCCTGGTGGAACACGATGTCTGTTGCTGCTGCTGCTGCTGCTACTGCTTCTACTTCCCCGCTGACTAGCAACGGGCCTTTCACCATGGGGACGACGCTCAAGAGTGATTCCGGGAAGACTTACAAGATTGAAAATATGATCGTCGACCGCAGAAATCCTCCTCTGTGTGTATATCGTGCGAGGTACGTAGGAGGCTCTATTGAACCGGTATGTCGGCTGTTGTGTCTTTGCGTCTGAACAGGTTGCTGACCACGGTGCTGGACGGGGAGTTCTGAGGGGGGAAACTATCTTCTGAAAAATATGATTCCCGGCGAGTTCGAGTACCAGCTGTATTTGTAAAAGAGGCTGTCTCCTTGTCCAAACGTGCGAACGGTAGTCGATACGGTCAAAGCGTCCGAGTTGTTCATCTTCCACTTTCTGGCCGGCGACTTGCTTCGTTTTAGCCAGAAACCTCTATCCACAGAGACAAGGCGTAGCATTCTCTAAAGTGCTTTGCATGGCCTCGCTGACATGCATGATAGAGATATTCTTCATAATGAGAAGTTTTAACCACTAACAGGAGACTCTCCACGCCTCGGTACAGACAGTTAAAATAGACATCAAACCAAACAATATACTCGTGGACTATGACGAAAGCCCTGATGGTCACGTTACCGTAAAAGCATGCAGATTTCAGACCTCGAGGAGACACAGTCTGTGTGCCGTTCAGAGGCCCACTCTGTGTCAATGCGATCTGGAGAAGCCCCGAAAGTTGGTGCCGATGCCGTCAGAACCAGACCTCGGATGCTTTTCTCTTTTGGAATTTGTGGTACGGCCTGTTCTTTCCTCCCACCTTCTGTTGTGTTCCAGGTTTACCAAAACTAAATACACTATCTACATTCCATTCGATGGCACTGTTATAGCACTGTTATAGCTCCGGGCATCACGTTACGGAACAGGGAATGCCGGCGGTTGAAGCTTCCTTGTCAAGGCAAAGAACTGAGGTGGATCTCACAAGTGAGCCGCAAAGGTCAATTCAACCTTGACTGATGGGCAGTGACGTTTTGGCCCTGCGTCGCCAAATCCCGACGCATCAGAAGAAGAGGAGGCCTGTGGCCGTAATGGGTTGAACCAGCAAGTTGCAAGCGCCAGCGCCCCATAGAGAGTGAAGGGAAGACAGGTCAGGTCTTTTAACCAAACAGGATGACAAAACCATGCAGAGGTAGCGGGAGGAGGGTGTGTCGAGGTCATAGACATCAAAGATATGGAGATTGCTCATTTGCGGGTGAGAGAACATAGCCTTAAAAGGCCAAAGGCCAGAAGATCGGGCGCCTCCAGGAGGCGGTTGATGACATGGTGAATGAGCAGTTAGTTTGTTGTTTTTATGTCTTTCCTTCTTTCTGTCCTTTTTCTTTTGCCTTAGAAAAAGTGAATACGTTACAGGGCTGTTGAGTTAAGATCTCTTATTATTCATTAAGCTGCATATGGTTAGACTGTAAGAAAGAAGGGTCTTGTCTGAGGTTACATATTGCACAGTAATCAGAAATTATAGCTCTCAGTGAGGAGAAGATGATCGTTTTCAACCCCAAAAGTACCTCGATGAATTTCACGATTGATTCTAAAACTTGCTCTTGTTTTTAGAAAGTGTCATGGAAATGTTAAAAGCAGTCGAAATAACATTGAATTCCTTAAGGCTTCATTAAGTAAACTTAATGACCTATATCTATATCTGGCTGAGACCTGTATTCCATGTGTAGGGCACATAAATATCATAGAGTAAACTAATATCTGACCGTACGGGATTAGACTATTACGCAAAAAGGATGGAAGGAAAGGAAGTGGCTTTCACGTGATACTAGCTCCTCTAACGAACCTTCGACGTCACCAAACGTTTTGCCCGTCATCCAACAATCAGCCAAACAAAATTCCAGACAACTGCGATAATCGATTGATTCGATTCCATCATCTCGGGTATTATTTAGCCAGGCAGGACACATGGCCTCCTCATCGAAGCCTCCCAGCCCGTTACTCTAGTAAGCACAATGCATATATACCTTAACTTCTGTCCTTGCTTACCTCCTAGGACTAACCTCCCGGCCTCGTCCTTCAGCGCCTGCATCGCGCATAGATCGACTATCCTCGCCGAACACTCATCTCCGGGCACCTCCTCCACCTCAGCCTCCTCACTTGCCTCCATAATCCTGCCGAAAATCTCCCACCAAGTCCCGCAGAAACTAACATACACCCACGATCGCCTCTTTGTCCACTATATCGCCGACTCCCCCTCCGCGACCTCCCAAAATGGCGAGCTCACCTCCCACGCTCCGCTCACTTACCTAGTCGTTGCTACAGTAGAGATAGGTCGCCGCATCCCCTTCGCATTCCTGCTGGAGATCAAAAGAAAATTCCTCGCCGCCTACAACCCACACAGCACCGACTTCGCCGCATTACCCGCCTACGGCTGCGCAGCGTTTAACACGGATCTCCGTGCCCTGCTGCAAACCTACAATACAGCGCCACCAGCCGACTCCCTCGCGTCAGCGCGCAAGGAAATCGATAGCGTGCGTGATATTATGACGGAAAATATCGAGCGGGTGTTGGAACGCGGGGAGCGGATTGACTTGTTAGTTGACAAGACGGATCGACTGGGTACTACCGCGCGGGATTTCCGTGTGCGGAGCCGTGGGCTGAGACGGCAGATGTGGTGGAAGAATGTAAAGGTGATGGTCCTGCTGGCCGTTGTGGTTGTGTTCCTTATATATCTGTTTGTTGGGATGGCGTGTGGTTTGCCGGCGTGGGGGAAATGTGTTGGCCATTAGCCGAAAGATGTCCTATGTTGAATTGGTTGGGGAAATTGATACTACTACAATATTTTCTGATTTATTGCGAGACATTTTCTGCTCTCTCTCTCTCCTCTGTTGTTATGTCCGCTTCGTGGTTATGTATTTTCTGCTCTTTTTTTTTTAAAAATCATGTTATTCTTTTTCTCTTCGTCTCGCTGCTGAATGGTGTATCCATATTGGAACATCTGAGTCTTAGCTGATGTATTTTCCCTTTTCATTGTATACCACTACTATGCCAGTTTAAAGGGAAGAAGATCCTATTTCTAGTCATTTTTTTTGGTATTTGCGGATCGCTTTGTCTTAATTTTTGAACATGATTTGGGATTCTACATGGAAAATCTGTTCACAGTTAAGTCTATGGACAGAGATCATATAAGAATTCTCCTAATAAATAAAATCGATGTGCCTCACCATCAAACTTGTCTCCATTACTGGCAGGGCCTAGGGACAAGTCTGCAGGCGAGACGAAACTTGCAGCTATCGCACTTCGCTTGATACATACATAATATGTAAAAAGTGAGTTTGGAATGGGTTTGCAGCAATTGCTTCATATACGCCAGCCGTATACCTCGCAAACCACTAAATGGAGGAATATGATAATTCTCTCGGTTTGCGCGGAGATAATACTGGCAAGATTCAGTTGCATGACAGCTTTGAGAGTGATCTCACAATAGGTCTCTGTAAGGGGGGAGAGGGGGGAAAGAAATTGACGCAGGCAAGAACAAAAGGGGTGGTTAATTCCTTTACATCATCAATTTTTTGGAACCTGTTTTGACATTTCCGATCTGATCGGTCGCGGCTCTGAAATGGTATACTAATTTTCAATCATGCATCGAAGTGGGTATGTGAAAGGCGGACACACAAATAAGCCGAAATCGAAAATGTCAAGAATCAGCCCGCCCGTGCTTTGCACTACAGACAATCAAGTCATATAGTTTCCTTTCCCCAAGATCCGCTGAGCCCATAGAGAAACTGTTCTCCAATCCACGAACCACGAATCCGACCAGTATTGTGTAAAACTGAATCCCCCTACACAGTTCTCGAACGGAGAAAATAAAAACGCAAGCAAGACAAAAGAATGAAAGGAAAAGAAAAGAAACCAAACAAGATTACGCCGTTTCTATTTTAATTTCGCTTTGCAGCTTTGGCTTCCCGTCCCTTACCCATTCGCTCCAGGATGCTCTCGCGGTCTTTGTCGATCTTCAGCTTGGTGATGACAACTTTGGAAGGGTGGATGCCAATTGGGACGCTCTGGCCATTGGACTTGTCACGGGTGACACGCTCGACATGCACGACGTATTTGAGGCGGTAGACGCTTGTGATTTTGCCCTCGCGGCCCTTGTTGGAGCCCCGAATGATGGTGACTTCGTCATCTTTGCGGATGGGTATCGAGCGGACCTGGTTATTTCCAAACCATATCAGATAAAGATGTTCCAGAAATATGTAACGTTTTGCTATTGCTCGTAACTCTAATTTCACAAACTTCTCCTCCTGATTCTCCTATTACAAATCCTGCGTCTCGTTCGGAATTGTAGGAATGTGGATCTCATACATTGTGCTTCTCTCGCAGTTCCTTGCTTAATGGTGCGCTCATGATGACTCGTCGTTCACTAGACGGGGCACTGAAGTGTGCCTTGCGCGACTTCCGCCGTGAGGAGGCGAGATCTGTCGATTGAAGCAAAATTATCAGCATTGCGCATTCCAGGGTTAATTGAAGGGTGTCCAATTTTACCGCCCTGGGAAGCAGCATACACACCTGAGTTGATCTTGGCCATTTGTGCAGATCTGTAGGAAAAATGGAGATCTGGCTCCGGAAAAGGGGGGCTTTGGAGAATGGGGGAATATGATCGTATCGATGTCGTCGTCGTCGTTGAGATTCTTCCAGAGTGTTAATTTTTCCCTCTTTTCGTTTCACACTGAATTGAAAATGTGTGAGCGCTGTGTGGGTCAGCTGATCTGGCTACATTGGGCTTAGCGTAGGTGGTGGGTAGGCTCTGCTGACTTATCATCCAGGTCGCGCCGGCGAAAGCTTAAAGACACCGATTGCGACTTATCTTAGCGACACAACGAGCGACAACTCTCTACGAGGAACGACAAGTCAATACAAGGTGGTGATGAGGTGTTGACTCAGGCAGCCCATTGTAAATCCAAATACTGCTGCTCCCCTTCCGCGTTCAGTCTCGTCTCTCGCTTGCTTTGCGTTGCGCACGTCGATTCCCGTTCGGTCTTGACCTTCGCCAGGCTCTCTCTTCGCTCCGTCACTCTTCCGCCCACCAATGCGATACCCTATGCATCATCATCTCACATTCAGTGTTGCCGTAGCGTGGAAGACGTGATTTATTCAGCCCTGGGCTATATCCTTTGCTGGTCATGTCGTACCAGGGATTTGGTTATCCCCCATACCGATACTTGACTGGCGGGCAGAATACACAATCCTCCTCCTACTCCTCACTCCGCCAGATCCCAGCTACCTCGCCATCGCCAGCCTCGAATATCCAGCAGACTGATCGGAGCTATGGACTGCAGAGCTATGAGTGGCAAGGCCAAAACAACCCAGATATAGCCGCCCAAAACTCTCAGCAGCAACAGTCCGGAAGCTGGCCATCCAACGATCCCGCGCAGGGATACGGGTATCAGCAGCAACCCCAGCAGCAACAATCCAGCTACCATACGTCCAATGCCGTGTCACCGATCTCGTCTCAACAGACCCACCATACCCACCAAATCCAGCGGGCCCAACCAGCCCAACAAACTTATAGTCAGTTTATTTCACCAACACAGCAACATGCACCCTATGGTTCTGCATTAGAACCTGTCGCCATCCACAACTCCACCATTGATTCGCCTTCAAACACCTCTGTCTCTGCGAACATGAGTTATCAGTCCGAATCAAGAAATCAGAGCAGATCTCCCGCAAATGCTGCTCTGTCAATTGATCGCCCAAACTCCGCTCAACGCTCGCGGACTGCCGCAGCCTCGGCAATGACTGCTTTGTCTTCTAGCATTCCCCCACACCGTACATCTTCACAGCATATTTCAACCAGTCAAGCTGCCTCCTCAACGCCTTCGCATTCCTACCCATGTTACGGGACTCCTATGTCAAATTTGGTATCCCCAAACCCCACAGGACCATCACCATTAGAGCAGACTGATCAGTCTTATCACCAGCACCAGCAAATCGCTAAACTGCAATATAGTAGAAGCTCGACAGTGTCCGCCCAGTCGAACATCTCTAAGCATCAGCAATCCGCATCCCAGACACGAAACGCATACTCCCCCACAGCGCCAGCTGCTCCCACCTCTACGTCAGCTTACCCTGGCCGTTCGACTGCATCGCAGCGAAAAGGCAGTCCAGGTTGCAGTGGCAGCGGCGCTCCTCAACACTCTCACAGCTCATCTCCTTCTCAACACACCGTTTCAAATACCCCTTACGGTAACTCTGCTTCTGAGGATCAGGCGGCAATCACAAGTCAATCACAAGCATACCAGTCTTCCACACCAAATTTTATAGATCCGAGCCAAATTTACAATCCTTATTATCAGGAATACCAGAAAAAGAAGGCTGCAGAGGCAGAAGCGGAATCGGAGCGACTTAAACAGAAAGAGCTAGAGAAACGGAAGGAGTTGGAAAAACAGAATGAGATAGAGAAACAGAAAGAAGAGGAGAAAGAAACACAGAGCCTATTTGTTCAGGCCGAGGTTAAACAAAAGCTTGAGGCAGATAAGGCGAAAGCTGCTCAAGCACACGCGGAGAGGATACAGGTTGAAAGCATTGCAGCAGCATCCGGCTCATTTTCCTTACAAAAGGCCAAAAAGTCCGTCCGCAAACCCGGTCCAAAACCCAAGAACACAGGCGACCCCGCAGATTCACCGCAGGTGCAATTGCAAGATGGGCCAAAAAAACAGTGTTGGGATCGCGAATCAATAGCAGAAAACCCTATATCTGCTACTCCAGCTGAATCGACTGAGAAGGCGAACACCACTCAGGCACCACTTGTTCAACCACATATTCAACAGCCTGTTCCACTACCTGGAGATCAGGCATCTGCACCTGCTCCTGCCGCAAAGGCTGAGGCACATTCAGATGAGGATATGGATCTGGAGATGACAATGATGTTGGAGAAAATGAAAAAGCTGAAATCGAAGGATCCAAGTAAATTTGCCAGGTTGTTTGGTTCTCTCGACCAGGTAAGCACGATTTGGATATCTCCTGCCCCCTTGCCGATGTGGGCAAAGCTAACATTTATATGTCGGCTCAATCGCAATCACGATCACAGTCAAATAATTTCCATTCTCAAGGTATGCAAGAACGGAGTAGTGTTGCGAGAGTTCACGCATCTACGCCTGATGCTAGCACTACTATTTCTACCACTCCAAAACCCACAGATGAGAACGATCCACGTCGTGACTGGGGTAAATTCCCCACAGCTCGACGGAAACGAAAGTTGAAAGGTCAAGATGCGACTGTTCATCAAACTAATTCTTCGTTCACGCAACTGCAGTCAGAACAGCCTGAGCCGACATCTCCTTCGCAGCCAGAGATGAACAAGAACAATGGACGAGAACAGACAGGGGAAATTATAAAGGAAGCTATAAAGATAGATAAACTCATAGATTCCGATAAGGTTCGGCCCGGTCCGGCACCGGTGTCAACACCACCACCTGCTTCCGCTCCAGCTCCAGCTCCAGCTCCAGCATTAGTACCAAAATCATCACCCAATCCAGAGTCAGAACTAATAAAGAACGGGCCCGCTCAGACGGCAGCTACAATTTGGCCTGAACAGAGACGATTGGCTCTAGCCAATGCTGCTGCAAGTTATATTGACCAGGTTTTTGCAAATGCCAATTCTGGCAGGAAATGCCCACCTGAACTAGTGTTGAGTCTTATAAACCAAAACCCAAGCTACATTGAGCTCTGTGGGATGCTGGAGTCACGCGGTTATTCATTGAATCGTGTTCATTTTGCGAAACATCTACTTAGAGCTGTACCGGAATTAACTACTAGTTCCGGGCCGACACCTGCTCCATCATCTGCTCCTAGCCAACCACAGAGCCAACCGCAGAGCAACCGCAGAGCCGCCACAGAGCCAACCGCAGAGCAACAGCAGAGCAACCGCAGAGCAACCGCAAAGCAACCGCAGAGCAACCGCAGAGCAACCGCAGAGCCAACCGCAGAGCAACCGCAGAGCAAACCGCAGAGAAACCGCAGAGAAACCGCAGAGTAACCGCAGAGAAACCGCAGAGCAACCGCAGAGAAACCGCAGAGAAACCGCAGATAAAGCGCAGACCAACCACAGAGTCTGTCGCAAAGTTGCGCAAGGAAACTCCCCTTACTGCGACACAAGCGCAATCGGCATCATATCTAGTCCCCTTACT